CGAGGCGTTTCTAAGGAAGTAACGTTGTGAGCATTGGCCACAAATTATGATGAGCCTGGATATCTTCTGAATCCAAATATTTCTTAAGTAATGCCACCATGGGCTAGAGATGTAGCTCAGTTGTTAGGGTACTTGCCTAGCAGGCACAAGGCCCTGGGTTCAGTCCCCAGCACCACATAAAACTAGGCAGGTGTGGGCTGGGTGAGGCAGCCAGGCTGCCACAGCCGGGTAACGGGAAGAGGAATGTAAAAGGAAGCCAGTCTTACATTTTCAATATGGTGAGCTTGAAGTGCACCCTGCAGGTTGATGGCCATTGTGCTGGGACCTTCTCCTGGGCAAAACCACCTCTGTGGTTAGCCTGGTTTCTTGCTCAAGGCTTCTCCGAGGCAGCAGTAGATTTTTGTTTGTTTTCTCCTGGTCAAACTGGGCAACTTTAAGTTCGTGTCTTCCCCAGACTCTCCAAAAAACAGGAATTCAGGTTGCAAAGGACAATTAAGACCTCTAAGCAGAGAGATTTATTAAATGGGAAAAACAAACAAACAAGAAACACCAGCCCCTTCCTTCTCTTTTAAGAGTTGGTCAGCAAGTTAAACACCAAGAGTTTTCCCGTGCCTGTGTATTGCTCCCTTGCTTGCTGGAGGGCGGAAGGGAGAGACTATGAGGAGCTACCCCAGATGGAGTGATGGTACAATGCAGTGTCCAGCAGCTCCACTCTGAGGATGAGTTCCTGTCAGAAACCTCCCGTGCTGCATCACTGATAGGCAGAAATGGTTCGGACAGCATAGAGAGGCTTCTCCGTATTCTTCTACCTATCAGGCTTTGTAACCAGAAAGCCAGGTTGCTTCTACTTGGCCAGAACTCTGAGCTGCTCTACCTTTAGCACAAGGGGATCTGGTTGATTTCTGTCTCCAAATCATCCTGGAAGAGGGTGGAGAAGGGCTTCCTCTTTGCTCTGTGTGCTCTAGAACTTCCTTTATAAACGTGCGCTACACTGTCCCTGGCAGTGCCCCTCAGCGCACATGCACACGGAGTTAATTGGTTATCGGGAAGATCTGTTTTCTCCATGCAGGGTTTGGTAGAACACACGTGGAATCCCAGTTCAGGAAGTTGTTATAACTTTCCTGAGTCAGTTCCCTCCCATAGTATGAATAATATAAACCCAGAGACATATATTGAAGAACAAGCTGAAGATCAGAAAAGCAAAGCAGCCAGCCACTAGAGAGTTCTCACCTCCAGCAATGCTCAGACAGAAAGGACGATCCCGTCCTCAGACTGCATCTCCAGACTGCACTGAGCTCCTTACATTCTCTCTCGTGCTGGGATTAAAGGCCTGAGCTCTGTTTCTCTTTTAGACTAATTCACTCTCAGGTAGCCCAGGGTGGCCTTGAACTCAGAGATCCATCTGCCTCTGTCTCCTGAGTCCTAGTGTTAAAGGTGTGTGCCACCACCGCCCAGTTCCTATGGCTGTGGCTGGCTTTGAGTTCTGGTCTCTGGGCAAGTTTTATTAGATCATAAACAATGTATTACCACACCCTCCCTTCATCGTGTGACTTCTGGAGACTGAACCGGATCGACAGGATTTTTACTTGCTATGACCCTCTGTGTTTCTTTAACATGCTGCTTTCAAAGGGAAACATTGTGTGTGTGTGTGATGTGTCACCACCGCACACTTGTAGAAGTCAAAGGACAACTTGTACGAGTCAGTTCTTTAGACCATGTGAGTCTTGGGACTTACTTGGCATTAAGTATGCCCTTACCCATCTCCACAGTCCAAGTTGGAAGCCTTTAATTAGTGCTGCTGGATCATCCCCACTCCCATCCTTTGCTTGTTCTATGTTAAAGTTGGTAGTTTAGATTCCCTGTAAATAGAAAATGAAAACGGCATTTGACAATATGGGTGAAACTTACGTGGACCTAGTCAGATGGCATAATAGTCAAATACCAGGCATCCACATAAAAAGCCTGGCATGCCTGCACATGCCTGCCACCCCAGCTTTAAGGGAAAGGCACGGGTTTCCAGGACTCACTGTCCAGCTAGCTTCTGGCTGAGTCAGAGACCCTGTATGAAGGGAGAGGTGGGGAGCAGTAGGGAGACAGCCTATATTTTCTCTGACGTCCAGATGTGTGCAGAATGGCCATGTCCACTCACATACAGCACACACATTTGTAAGGCATCACTTTGGACTCCTCGTTAGCTATGCATTAGTCCATCCAGCTTTCCTAGATGCAGAGAACTAGTTCAGTCTCTGGACTAGACAGTACACAAGCGACACATTTAAACGGAATGCATTCATCTCTCCACCCATTCCTTCAGACACTACTCTAGTAAGCGAGAGAGAGCATTTCCTGGCTGTTGTGGATTAAGTTCTAGAGGGACATTTCTGTGAAGCCTGTCCAAAAGAATACTATGTGATTCCCACATGCATGAGGCAGCGAGGGCGGAGACTGATCACCTGCTCTGCTGATGACTGTGCCCAAGCTCCGTCTTCCCTGAAGCAGTAGCTCCTGGAATGTTTGCTGACTGAATGAACTAGATTGTGCTCTTTGATTCTAACTCTAGCGTTTTAAAAATTGTTTGTTTATTTTTATGTGTGTCGGTGTTTTGCCTGCATGTATGTCTGTGTGAGGGTATCAGATCCTGTTATGAGCTGTCATGTGGGTGCCAGGAATTGAACCCAGGTCCTCTGGAAGAGCAGTCGGCGTTCCTGACTGCTGGGCCATCTCTCCAGACCCAATTCTTGAGTTTTTTACAAAAAAATACTTGTCAGTGTCTACTCCCTATTGTATATATGTGAGATATATATATTATACCTATGCATCAACTGGAAATGTATGTATTATTTACATCTAAGTCTTTAAATATTTACCATATTTTCTGAAATAAATGATCCTTTTATACACTAGCTAAGCTGTCTAGATGAAATAGTTTCACAGACCTAAAGTATTTACTGAAAACAAATAAAAAGGATACACAGACCAAGTATGCTGGCACATGCATGTAATCCCAGTCAGTACTCAGGGGACTGAGGCAGGAGGATCGAAAGTTCTAAGTCAGCTTGGACCACATAGTGAATCCCTGTCTCAAAAAAAAAAAAAAAAAAAGAAATAAAATTCAGAGGACACTGAGGTGGCCAGACACCAGTAGTCAGTCTCTTCAGGTTGTGTGTCTGCAGAAATTGGGTGCTTTAACAGCAGGGCCCATTAGGAAAGTCTTGGTGACCATGGCATCTCTTATAAAGAAAGCATTTAATTGGGGCTGGCTCACGGTTTCAGAGGTCTGGTCCTACTACAGCCTCCCAAGTGCTGGGATTAAAGGCATGCACCACCACTGCCTCTCTCTCCCTCCTTTTCAACACACACACACACACACACACACACACACACACACACACACCACGTCCCTTCCTCTTGATCCACGCCCTCCCCCACTGTATACTCAATAAAGTAAACAAGCGAATGAGTGAATAGGAAAGAAAAGAATAGAGGTGGGATGCTGGTTTAGAGTCGGGGGCTAAAAAAGACATAAAAACCAGATCCAGTAAATCTTGATTAATTCTAATTCAGGGGTGGTGTGGGCTGTCACTAAATGTGTGACCCAAGACAGTTCTTCCATGGTGGCCCAGAGGACAACTGGGGAGACTTGAATATCGTAGGTTAAGCTTATAGTTTGATGATTGGCACATGCCTATGTATGAAATAGCCTGCGAATGCACAACCTGTACTAAAGCATGTCCACTGACTCATGACCTCTGCCCTTGACAAATCCAGACAGGGTGTGCAAATGCTTTCAACTTTTACTCTTTAAAAACTTCTTACATAGGCGTGGGCTATGACTCTGAATAAACTGCGATGCAGTCGTGAGGACCTGAGTTTGAATCCCTGGTACCCGTGTAAAAGATGGATGGGGCAGCACATGTCTGGAACCCCAGCACTGGGGACCTGAGAGAGGTGGATCCTGGGAGCTTGCTCTCTAGCCAGAAAGGAAGGAAGCAGTGTGTCCAGGCATGGCGGTACATGCCTTTCAACCTAGCATTCAGGAGAAGTCAACAGAGCTCTGTGCGGTTAAGACCAGCCTGGTATACAGAGCAAGTTCCAGGCTAATGAGGACTACACAGAGAGGCCTTATCTCAGTAAATAAATAAGTAAGGTAGAGAAGTGATTGAAGAAGACATCCTCATATCAACCTCTATCCTCCATGTGTGCCTACAGGGCAAATGAGTGTGTGTGTGTGTGTGTGTGTGTGTGTGTGTGTGTGTGTGTGTGTGTAAATTTGAGGCAAGCGTTGAAAAAACTCTTCAGGTGTACCTATATATTTGTCTATTCAGAAAGGGAAATCACTGACTATATGAATAGGTGTATAGATCAATGTATGTTAAATAAAAGAGGCAGTGTGGAGGAAAGAATTGAATCTCATTCTTTTTTAATTATGTGGGGTATGTGTATGTGTATAATTGTGTGCGTGCCTGTGGGTGCAGGTGGCTCCTGAGGCTGCATCGTCAGTGGCTCCTGGAACTGCAGCTACAGGTGATGTGAACCACCTGACATGGACCTGGGAGCCAAACTGCACTCTGAAACCTCAGTCCATGCTCTTAACCAGTGAGACATTTTCCAGTCTCACTGGAATCTTATCCTTTAAGAAAGAAAGTACAAGGAAAAAGAAAAGAAAACAACACACACACAAAGTAAAAACAAAACAACAAAATAAACAAGACACAGGACTGGAGAGATGGCTCAGAGGTTAAAAGCACTGGCTGCTCTTCCAAAGGTCCTGAGTTCAATTCCCAGCCACATGGTGGCTCACAACCGTCCACAATGAGATCTGGTGCCCTTCTCTGACCTGCAGGCAAACATGCAGGCAGAACACTATACATAATAAATAAATAAATCTTTAAAAAAGGAGAGAAAGAAAGAAAGAAAGAAAAAAGAAAACACTAGATAATTCCCTAAAAGGGGGGAGAGAAACCAGAAGTATTAAATTAATTTCTTCTTTTCTGTTTTAGGCTCAAGAAAAAGGAAGATTAGACTACACTAAGGTAGGTAGATTGTATGCATCTTCTATATTATTTGGTCACATTTTATATTTGAAAGGTCAAACCAGAAGCCTTATGGCTGGGCATGGTGGCAGACTTTTAATCCTAGCACTCCAGAGGCAAAAACAGTCAGATCTCTGTAAGTTTAGGGCAGCCTCATCTACAAAGAGAAAACCATTCCAGCCAGAACTGCATAGTAAGACCCCGCCTCAGATAGATGGATGGATGGATGGACGGACAGACAGACAGACAGATAGGTAACTCCTGTCCCAGGGAGTAGGACACCCTCTTCTCACCTTACATACATCTTACATACATGGTATATTTGCTTGCACATACATTCACACCCATGTACATAAGAGATAATATATAATTTGGGGGGCGGGTTTCGAGATGGGGTTTCTCTGTGTAGCTTTAGAGACTGTCCTGGAACTAGCTCTTGTAGACCAGGCTAGCCTGGAAGTCACAGAGATCCACCTGCCGCTGCCTCCCAGGTCCTGGGATTAAAGGCGTGCACCACCAACGCCCGGCAATATGTAATTTTTTATATTAAATAAACACATTAAGAACAATTATGACGCTTAAATCTGAAAGATTATTATTATTAGCAGATAAAATAAGATTCATTCAACAATGCATGTGTTTATTCCATACAGTGTATTAGATATTGGGAGTAAAATGGTGAGTGCCAGCAAGAGGGCTCAGCAGGTAAAGGGGCTTGCAGCCAAGCACATGGAAGCCAAGCCTGATGACCTGAGTTAGATCCCCAGAGCCCACGTGGCGGAAGGAAAGAATCAACTCTTGAGAGCTGGAGGGTATTACGTGGTTTGAAGCAGCTGGCATGCTAGCTAGATGCCTCCTCTAATGCATTATGGGGGCCTACCTTCACACCCTCACCTAGTCCTGATTGTACCCTAAGGGTTCCCCCTCCAAAAACCATCGCACATCAACTGGGGAATCAAGTTACCAGCACTTGAGCTTTTGGGGACACATTCAAACCTTGGCACCAGTGACACATTGTACAGCATGGGCCTTGTATGAGCGAGCACAAGCCCCACACCACCTGTGGAGCTTTTGGAAGCGCACACGGTGTCTTATCGTCCTGTGTGGGATTTTATTGCTGTGAAGAGACACCGTGACCACGCTAACTCTTCTCATAAAGGTAAACATTTGACTGCAACTGGCTGATAGCTTCAGAGGTTTAGTCAGGGGTGAGGGGGGTCAAGCTGCCAACAGAGCAAAACAGTGTGAGGATAAAGGATGGGTTTTCCTAAAGCCAGTGAAAGAAAGCAAGCTCCAGTCAGAAGGCCCTCGAGGACAGGTGACTAGTGACCACTGGAGCTTATTTGTGACTCAAAGACTTTCAGAATTTCTTGTTTTATTATTATTTTATTTAGTTTTATGTGCATTGGTATCAGTGTGAGGGTAGCAGATCCCCTGGATCTGCAGTTACACACAGTTGCGAGCTGCCGTGACGGTGTGGGACTTGAACCTGGGTCTTGTGGAAGACCAACCAGTGCTCCTAACCACTGAGCCATCTCTCCAGCCCCACAGAATTTCTTATCAAAGTTCTTTGACGGCCAGGTGATGGTGCACGCCTTTTATCCCAGCATGAGGGAGGCAGCGGCAGATGGATCTTTGCAAGTTTGAGGCCAGCCTGGCCTATGCACACATACAGTAAGACCCTGACTCAAAAAAAAAAAAAAAAAAAAAAAAAAGGCATTTCTAGACCAAGCAATGGCTATGCTGCCAGCTTGCTGCAGAACCTGATGAATCACTTAGTTACCTTGTGGTCTCTTGTGCTATTACCACGATGACCATGTGAACAAGAGTCCACAGGCCTGACATCACAGTAAATCCTCCTCTCCTCTTTCTTAACGCCATCCTGATCTAAGCTGAATTCAGTGTAATCTTTTCTTTCCCATTAGAGTGAGAATATTCTGAAAGCAGCAGCCCGGGCTCTCTTGGTGTGTGTGTGTGTGTGTGTGTGTGTGTATGTGTGCATGAGTGAGTGTATGTGTATGTGTGTGTGAGTGTGTGTATGTGTATGAGTGTGAGTGTGTGCATGTGTGTATGAGTGTGTGTGCATGTGTGCATGCACACACGTGTCTGTGTGTAAGTGTGTCTGTGGTGTCCACAGTTGGAGGCACAGAAATTTTAAGAACATACTGACTGCTTGCCTCAGCTGCCTTTCCCAGAGCCTGATTGATCACTGTGTTTCTCAGCGAACAAAAAATATCCCTGAATTTCTAGTGCTATTGTGACAGTTAAAGGCAAAACACAGTTGGTCTGGATAGGTTCCAGTAATTAGCTAGATCTTGTCACCTTGAAGCAGACTTACTTCCAAGTATTACAGGGAGAAGAGGGAAAATTCTGTCTTGTGTCTAGGGTAATAGATGGTCGAGGTACAGCTTGTGCTGAAGTGATATTTGAGTGCACTGTGGGGCTGGGGGACACAAACATGGGGCCTTCCCATCTCCCCTCTCTGTTCCGCTCTGTGTGGTCTCACTACTGATGATTGGTGTTCACTGTAGTAATGCAGGCAGCGTGGTTGGCGGGTTGGGATTCCCTGATAGGATTATCTGTCTGTGATGGAATTAGAAGAACCCAGCAGCCGTATCAGGAGACTGTGCTCAACTTATCTGCTACTGAAATTTTCTTCATTCCCAAGAGCCTGATTTTATCCAAAAAGAAAAAAAAAAAAAAACCATAAAAAATTAATTTCAGTTGTTCATGCTAGCTTTATACTCCATCACTCAAATTCAGGCAGTCTGAGATGAGGATGTAAGGGAGGGCTGGGAGAGGTGATCATTTTCAAATCAGTCCAGCTGGATTTCCAGAGTGCCTTTCACATTCACTAGGTAAGATGTTAGGTTTCTTTTTCCTCTTCATTTGGGCATGTATTTAGTTTTGTAACAGGATTTCACTATGTAATCCAAACTGACCTGAAATGCCTCAGCCTCCTGCCTCAGCCTACTGAGTGCTGGCGTTACAGGCATGCGCCACCACGCCCGGCTTTTTAATTGAATTCAGGTTGCAGTGGATCCTGGATATCAGTGTTTTATACGCCGTGCTATCTTTCTTCTTAAGGTATCAGAGCCTATGACAATTTTCCATTCATTAAATCCTTCCTCTCAAGGTAGATGGGCAACGGTGGCAATTCTAGAGTGTCAGATGAAAACAAGAACATCTGTCTTACTTGCACAATTAAGACTCCAGAAAGGAGTTGGAGAGATGGCTTGGTAGTTATGAGCACTAACTGCTCTCCCAGAGGACCGGGTTCAATTCCCAGCACCCATACAGCTAATCACGGCTGTCTGTAATTCCATTTGCAGGAGATCCAATACTCTCACACAGACACACATACCAAAACAAAAAAGGACTCCAAAAATGGGTTTGTAGGATACCAACGTACTTAGCCGGGTGTTGGCGATGCACTCCTTTAATCTCAGCACTCGGGAGGCAGAGGCAAGCGGATCTCTGTGAGTTCAAGGCCAGCCAGGTCCAAAGCCACAGAGAAACCCTGTCTGAAAAAAAAAAAAAAAAAAAAAAAAAAGATACAGTGTACTTACCAGAACTGAATTGTGACCAAGTAGCTAGTGTCAAGATTGAGCCTGGTACACAGTGCTGTGGGACAGTTAGTGACCGTGATGGGTTTGTAGCCCTGGGTGAACAGTTCTCTGACTACTCCTGTCCCTCAGCTGCCCACCCAGCATAATTAACATTAAGTACTAAGAGGAAGAGTGCCACCTTTTGGATTGCAGGAATTCCTGGGCGTGCGTTGGGACTGGTGCACAGCCTCTCAGACCACGTTCACACCCGGTTTGCTATGGCAGCTGTTATACACGTCTGAAAGATTGTGGGTATGTTGACTACTGGTACTTAGAAAAACATCTACAAACGCCTGTGTATTCTCCCCAGCTGGAGCCGAGCGAGCGAGCTTGTGCCTGCAGTGGAGCCTACTGCTCCTCGAGACGGGCACGCTGCTAAAAGACTGAGGCAGATGGTGTTTTTACCACTTCAGGCAAAACATGGCACCTATGCTGCGACTCTCTACAATTTTAATTTTTTAACATTTTCAAGATGGCTTGTTTAAATATCTCCATCACGGAGACACAGACTGGTTCCCGGTCTCTTTTAAATCACTGCTATAGCTAGCTAGCTATACGGGCTTTGGCAAAATTCACTTGATCAAAACCAGACCCTGTGAAACACTGTGGAGTTTGCCTTCTGTTCATTCTTTTCCCGGTGCCTTAAGTGGCCTCTGACATCATGCTAATTCAGGCTCAAAGACTGCCGTTACAGTGGCCCCTTCTCCATACGTGTCTGCTTTGTTGTGCGCTTCTTATCATCTGGCCTGTGACTCGGTACAGGAGTGAGTTTTTGCATTGTTATTATTTGCGTGAGAGCACAGACGTGTGCATGGTGCACGCCTACATGACTTTCTGAGGAATGGGACGGGCTCTGTCCTCCCACGGTAGGATCTGCATGTTGAATTCGGGTTGTCAGGGTGGCATGTTACCCACTGGACCAGATCACTGACCCTGTTTGTTGTTGCTGTTGTTTTGTTTTTAGGTTTATTTATTTTATTATATGTAATGCGTGTTTTACCTGCATGTATGTCTGCGTACTACATGGGTAGTTGCTACCCATGGAAGCCAGAAAAGGGTATCAGATATCCTAGGACTGGAATTACAGGAAGTCGTAAGCCACCCGTTGTGGGTGTTGGGAAATGAGCTCAGGTCCTTGGGAAGAGCAGTATACATTCTTAACTCTGGAACCATCTCTCCAGCCCCCTAATGTCCTCTTAGGAGATTCCCTCTAAGCATAGAACAGCTCAAGGAAAGGTCCTGTGGCTAGTAATCTTTAGGCATCTGTTCCCTGTCAAGCGTAAGAGAACCCCTTGGGATGGCAGGCTGAGCTCCTGCTGTCTGTCTCCCAGGATAGGCTCATGGTTACGGGACAGCAGCTTCCAGCTGTCCCAGTGTGCCTGCCTGGAATCA